TGAGTGTCACCTGTGTCACCTCAGTGTCATCTGTGTCACCTGTGTCACCTCAGCATCCCCTCAGTGTCCCCAGTGTCACCTGTGTGTCACTTGTGTGTCACCCCCATAAACCTCCCCCCCCCTCGGCCATGTACTGCATCGAGGACAAGATGTGAGTGTCACCTGTGTCACCTCAGTGTCATCTGTGTCACCTGTGTCACCTCAGCATCCCCTCAGTGTCCCCAGTGTCCCCTGTGTGTCACTTGTGTGTCACCCCCATAAACCTCCCCCCCCCTCGGCCATGTACTGCATCGAGGACAAGATGTGAGTGTCACCTGTGTCACCTGTGTCACCTGGGTGTCACCTGTGTCCCCTCAGCATCCCCTCAGTGTCCCCTCAGTGTCCCCAGTATCACATGTGTGTCACTTGTGTGTCACCCCCATAAACCTCCCCCACCCTCGGCCATGTACTGCATCGAGGACAAGATGTGAGTGTCACCTGTGTCACCTGAGTGTCACCTGTGTCACCTCAGTGTCCCCTCAGTGTCACCTGTGTGTCACCTGTGTGTCCCCTGTGTGACCTTAGTGTGACCTGAGTGTCCCCTCAGTGTCACCTGTGTCACCTGTGTCACCTGGGCGTCACCTGTGTCCCCTCAGCATCCCCTCAGTGTCCCCTCAGTGTCCCCAGTGTCCCCTGTGTGTCACTTGTGTGTCACCCCCATAAACCTCCCCCCCCCTCGGCCATGTACTGCATCGAGGACAAGATGTGAGTGTCACCTGTGTCACCTGAGTGTCACCTGTGTCACCTCAGTGTCCCCTCAGTGTCACCTGTGTGTCACCTGTGTAACCTTAGTGTGACCTCAGTGTCACCTGTGTGACCTCACTGTCACCTCAGTGTCACCTGTGTCCCCTCAGTGTCACCTGTGTCACCTGTGTGTCACCTGTGTGACCTTAGTGTGACCTCAGTGTCCCCTCAGTGTCACCTGTGTCACCCCCATAAACTTCCATCCCCCCCGTCCCTGCCCTCGGCCGTGTACTGCGTCGAGGACAAGATGTGAGTGTCACCTGTGTCACCTGGGTGTCACCTGTGTCACCTGTGTCCCCTCAGTGTCACCTGTGTCACCTGGGTGTCACCTGTGTCATCCCTTGTGTTGCCTCCTCTGTCACCCTGAGCCTCCCAATGTCCCCCTTGTCCCCTGCTGTCCTCAATGTGTCCCCAGGGCCATCGATGACAAGTACAGCCAGCGCGAAGAGTCCCCAATGGTGTCCCCAATGTGTCCCCAGGGCCATCAATGAGAAGTACAGCTGGTGCGAGGAGTTCCCAATGGTGTCCCCGCGAAGAGTCCCCAATGTGTCCCCAATGTGTCCCTGTCCCCAGGGCCATCGATGACAAGTACAGCTGGCGCAAGGAGTTCCCAATGGTGTCCCCAATGTCCCCAATGTGTCCCCAATGTGTCCCCAATGTGTCCCAAATGTGTCCCCAGGGCCATCAATGAGAAGTACAGCTGGTGCGAGGAGTTCCCAATGGTGTCCCCAATGTGTCCCCAATGTCCCCAATGTCCCCCTGTCCCCAGGGCCATCGATGACAAGTACAGCCGGCGCGAGGAGTTCCGCGGTTTCACGCAGGATTTCAAGGAGAAGGACGGCTACCGGCCCGACGTCAAGATCGAGTACGTGGACGAGACCGGCCGCAAGCTCACCCCCAAAGAGGTGGCGTGTCCCCAATGTCCCCCGGTGTCCCCAACACCCCCACGGTGTCCCCAACA